ACAATACTCTATTCCCGGCGAATGATTGTTATTATCCCCGCCCCGCCCCCCCCCACCTTCCAGCTAAAAGTGTTCTAAAATTGCATTATCTGGTGGCAGCCGTACCCAGGGTATTTTCTATATAACTCTCATAAGCTGTTAGTTTTGTTGCAGCTGTGTAATCTCGCTTTTTAATATTTCAAAATTGTGTGCCCTGCCTGTGTTCCTCAAAAAGAAATATGTGAACGCTGCTTTTGTTATTTAAAAATTACTTCTTGAGATCAGCAGCACAGAGCTGTGAGTCGGTCATCTTCCAGAGTTTGGGCTCATTCAGTCGTGGAAGTCCTCCTCTTGAAAGTCACCCTTCATTGCCTGTGAGTTGTCAGCAAAATCTGTGAAAAGGAGTGAAGGTGCATGATCTGGGCTTAAATCAGAGAACTGCCTCAAAGGCCTTTGCCTCTGATCAGAAGAGCCCCAGATCCCTTCAGGCCAAAAGCAAGTTGTATGTTTCAATCAAATTGTTGCCATGACTAATCGAGAAGCAGGAGGTTTTTTTTTAAAAATGGTGATTTTTAATATTAATTATTGTTGTGCCTTTTTGGGTTGACAAATATTGATAATATTTCATATTATTCATATTTCAATTATCAATATTTGACAACCAAAAAAGGTACAAAAGAGATTGAATATCCATATATTGATATGCTGAGCAGCCTGTGCTTGCTTTACTCTTGTGGCAACTTCATTTTTTTGGTGCTTTAATGTTGGGGCAATTGCTGGAATTCTTATGTAAGGATTTTATCTCAGAATTGTTGAGAATTCCATAAGTGATACTGAATCGTCATTAAAGGGGTTATGTGTGAACCTGTGGGTTGAGGTACTGTGCATAATATTACTGCCTTTATACAACCATTGAGGTCAGGCAGATTGCAGTGCTTCAGGCCAACCTAATTTTTTGCCTCTAAGAGCAAAATGGGAAGGTGGCTTCTTGTCTTTGATACCTGTGTTTCAGGGAACCAGAGTGCTCGAGAGTTTGTTTCTGGGGTTTTTTTGGTTTGTTTGTTTTTTTTTTTTAGTTGGCCTTGGGAGACAGAGGGAAGAATGGAAAAAGAAGGGGAAAATGAAGCAGCTTCATACGTTAGGGCAAATATCAGCTTTCACAAAAGTATGATGAAGGATTTTTTTTCCTTTTATTCTTCTTTTCCCCAGTTTTGACAGGTGGACAATAACAGTAATAAGTGAACTGAGAAACCACAGATAAGAGGGGAAAAAAGACAAAAGATCTAGTTAATCTTTAGCTCTTTCCCCCCCTTGTTTGTATTGAGAACTAATATGGGATTTATTCTTCCCAGAGAAATTTTTTTAGTTAAGAACTTTGAGAAAGACGGTAAAGCAAGACAGTGGAAGATGAAATGTGATAGTGTTTGTCCCTCCAAAATTTCAGGTGGAACTTGCTTATGAGTGATATGGTGTCTACAGATAAAGTTGAGTTCCTCAGCTAGAGAAAGGAATAAACTTACTATCTTTTTTTGCTTAAAGTAAACGCAAAGCATTGCCTAGAGAGAAGAATGTCAGCTCTACTTTTTGGTATCAGCTGAATAGCTGTAAGACAGGCAGGCTGAAGGCAGTGATCAATCAAAATGGTTATTAAACCAATTGGTTTAGTAATGCATGGTTAATACAAGATTAAGAAATGAGATCCTAAAGTGAGTTTTGGAAACACAAAGTACAACAGTTAATCTTTCATACTACTGAATAATACTGCACGTATATACAGTACTTCAGTACTGGTTGTATCTGTCCCATAAACTTAGCTGATGTAGAAGACCTTTGCAGTATAGTATGAACAGTGCATTTAAGGAGAGATTCTTCTTGCACTTTCAGTGGTTAATTTCATTTTGTTTAAAATGTAAATGTGAAAACTTTGGAAAATGTCTGCATTGCAGTATTTTGCTAATATGGTGTTTTCACTATGAGTAGTTCTGTCATCACTGATAACTTGTTTGTGAAACCAAGGTGGTTCCATTCTTATGCTCGCTGTTTGCGTGCGTCTTTATATACACATATCAAATATTTAAAGCATTTGGATTTACTGTTTCTGCTGGTGACAATATAGGTGGTGTTGAACAGCAACAAAAAACATACCTGTTTAACACATCGGACTGGATTTATTTTTCCTAAACATAGGTTATCTATAATGAATTATACTTTTTAATTAAAGAATTATTTTTTTATGTTGTTGGGTTCTCTCTCTCCCCCCCCCCCCCCCCCAAGGGACGCTTGTAGAAATGTTGAATAGAAGATGTAAAAACTTTGCATGTGTATTTGTGTAACAAGCTTTTGCCATGTTCGGGCATTAAGTTTCAGACACTTGTCTCTGAGTCGCTCTCTCTGAAGTTGTGTTTTCCAAGGCCTATTTCAAAGGCCTCCTCTGCTGCTAACCTCTTTTGAGTGTAGTAAATGCCGTTGGTTTAGCAGTTGCTCTACCAAAGCTACCTGTAGCTTTAGACTTGTTTGAAATTTAGGCTGACGTGGAATATTTGCGCTGAATAATATGACTCCTCAGGTAACTGGTGGCTGTAGCTTAAAGAAATTTGAAACTGCTTTGAGGAAAGTAAATGGAGTCGTGCATGTCTTGATGTCTTTTCTAGCTGTGTTTTTCATTCTTGAATGTTCCAAAAATGACAGGAAGTAATATTTTACTGAAAGCATATTTTTTCAGAATGAAAGTGCATTTCAGATTTTTGCCTTTTCAGTGACAGAACAGTTTTGCAGTGAAAAAAGGAAAGAATGAGGAATATATTTCTACAGTTATTAATGGTTAGTGGCATTCACGTTTTTATCTTGGCTAATGAAAGTATGTGAAAAGTCTTTGTTTAAGCAAACATTATTAAAGATTGTTCGTGTCTTTCCTTGGCTGTGAAACTGCTGATCCGGTCATTGTGGTGTTTCATTATAGTGCTGTGATAATGAGTCCATAAATACAAATCAGGAAGAACTTCCATTTTAAGCAAGTTTTTCCATACCTTTTGATCCATCACATCCCTTACGTCTTTCTGAAAATAAGTCCTATGACCTAGTTCTTGTGTGCTGTTTCTCTACACATAAATAAACATTTTCAGGAAGTTTGACAACTAGTCTAGTTCTGAGTTTGAGGAGTCTCTTGGTTAAATTTAATAAATATTCCATCTGCAAAGCAGTGGAAGAAATTTAAGCTGCAAATACTGATCTCTGTGCATTAAGCATGTAGACTGGGTAAGCTTCCAACAGATCTGCAATGGGCAGAAACAAAGTTTCAGAGTAATTGTCCTGGTGCTAGGTCAGTTATCATCCTAACAGCACAAAGGATGTATTGGTTTGACCAAGGCTTCAGTTTCACAAGCAGCTAGGTCAACATAATGTACCCTTAATATTTCTGAAAAGGAGCAGGGCTTGCTGCCTTCTCCTTTTTCATCCCCTCTTTCCTGGCCACACAGTTCCTCTGGTGCTTGTCAGGCTGTTTTGTGGATGGGTTCAACTTACTAACCCCGCACAAAGCTCTCAAGGGACGCTTGTAGAAATGTTGAATAGAAGATGTAAAAACTTTGCATGTGTATTTGTGTAACAAGCTTTTGCCATGTTCGGGCATTAAGTTTCAGACACTTGTCTCTGAGTCGCTCTCTCTGAAGTTGTGTTTTCCAAGGCCTATTTCAAAGGCCTCCTCTGCTGCTAACCTCTTTTGAGTGTAGTAAATGCCGTTGGTTTAGCAGTTGCTCTACCAAAGCTACCTGTAGCTTTAGACTTGTTTGAAATTTAGGCTGACGTGGAATATTTGCGCTGAATAATATGACTCCTCAGGTAACTGGTGGCTGTAGCTTAAAGAAATTTGAAACTGCTTTGAGGAAAGTAAATGGAGTCGTGCATGTCTTGATGTCTTTTCTAGCTGTGTTTTTCATTCTTGAATGTTCCAAAAATGACAGGAAGTAATATTTTACTGAAAGCATATTTTTTCAGAATGAAAGTGCATTTCAGATTTTTGCCTTTTCAGTGACAGAACAGTTTTGCAGTGAAAAAAGGAAAGAATGAGGAATATATTTCTACAGTTATTAATGGTTAGTGGCATTCACGTTTTTATCTTGGCTAATGAAAGTATGTGAAAAGTCTTTGTTTAAGCAAACATTATTAAAGATTGTTCGTGTCTTTCCTTGGCTGTGAAACTGCTGATCCGGTCATTGTGGTGTTTCATTATAGTGCTGTGATAATGAGTCCATAAATACAAATCAGGAAGAACTTCCATTTTAAGCAAGTTTTTCCATACCTTTTGATCCATCACATCCCTTACGTCTTTCTGAAAATAAGTCCTATGACCTAGTTCTTGTGTGCTGTTTCTCTACACATAAATAAACATTTTCAGGAAGTTTGACAACTAGTCTAGTTCTGAGTTTGAGGAGTCTCTTGGTTAAATTTAATAAATATTCCATCTGCAAAGCAGTGGAAGAAATTTAAGCTGCAAATACTGATCTCTGTGCATTAAGCATGTAGACTGGGTAAGCTTCCAACAGATCTGCAATGGGCAGAAACAAAGTTTCAGAGTAATTGTCCTGGTGCTAGGTCAGTTATCATCCTAACAGCACAAAGGATGTATTGGTTTGACCAAGGCTTCAGTTTCACAAGCAGCTAGGTCAACATAATGTACCCTTAATATTTCTGAAAAGGAGCAGGGCTTGCTGCCTTCTCCTTTTTCATCCCCTCTTTCCTGGCCACACAGTTCCTCTGGTGCTTGTCAGGCTGTTTTGTGGATGGGTTCAACTTACTAACCCCGCACAAAGCTCTCCACTTCTTTTTCAGGATAAATCTTTTGCCAAATCGGCAAGGTGAATTGCCTCATGGTGGAAGCGTCCGGCCACCAAAGCTAGGGCAAGGTGAGCAGCAGGACTTCTGAGAACAGATGCCGTGAGCAGAGCCAGACCTCTCCAGTTTGGTGGCCGCAGGCTGTTAGATTTGCTCAGGCTGTAACTTGATACAACAAACCACAGGCTGTTTGTTGTAACTCTGCACGTGTTTATCGGAGCAGTGACATGAATATGAGACATTGAAAGGTTTCCCATTGGAACGGCCGTTTATTGAATTAAACGTTCCTGTTAATAAGGATGTGCATTTGTTGGAAAATGCTTTCTGTGCATTCTTGATTCGCTACACAGCTAAGATGTTTAATCTTCTGGTTTTTAAGTTAAAGCAGTCTTTGCTGTTAAGAAATACAATTCAGTGTAGGTCCCGAGCATGGAAAGAATGATGTTCACCTTACTCATAGTGGTTGTGTTGTGCAACTGAGTTGAATCTGAAATACTCAGAAACAGTCAAGTATCTGTCACGGTGCGCTGTAGTTCATGTTTGTCACAGAAAAGTAGGAGACATTCCTGAAATTCTTAGAAAGCAGTGATTATGTTCTGATACTTTCAACTGTAGGTCTCATTTTTGTCCTAAATCTAGATGCAGGCAATAACTAGAAATAAGACGCTGAACTTCTTGGTACTAACTACAGAGAAACGGAGGTGTTACAGACCTTCACAAAGTTGTTTAAAATATGAATAATGTTGTTAATATCTATACTAGGAAGGTTGATAAAAATCATGTTTCACGTGAGAGAAAACAGGTCTTTTTGTGAGATGAAAACTGATGAGATTAGCATTTATATCTGCTGTCTCCTTTAGACTTAGGCTTTTCTAAATACCACCTGAATAATTTAGGTGTTATCATTTGAGTGCCTGAGAGCATTAGATTGTGTACCACTGACTCCCCTTTCTCCTACTTTCTAAGCATCTTAATATGTCACTTATTAACATATACAGGGACATAAACATTGTCTACATGGATGTGTCAAACATGTTGCCATTTTGTTTGAACTTACGTTTTACATCTCTTCCTGTAATGTTTCTAGGTAATTCGGCTGGGGGCCACCCCTGTTAGCCTGAGCTTGCTCTCTCTCCAGGTTTATGCTTCCTCTTCAGAGAAGGAGACTTCCAAAAAGGAGTTGCTGAAAATTGAGGAAGTAAGTATGGTTGGAGTCCTAGTGCTCTTCTATCTATACGGAAATATCTATGGAATTCTGAAAGACATTATATTTTGATACATGAAAGCATTTAGGTATGTAGAATCTCTCCACCCTTTGTATTACTGCCTTTAAACTGGCTTCTCTATTTTCAGTAATAGAGATGTCGATATGGCTTTGCTTCTTTTACCTGAGGGTTGCATTTGATGGCCTCTGCTTGACAGCATCAGGCTGGCTTTTGTGCAAGATCTTTCTCCTACATTAAAGCCCTCTGTTCTTCATTCAGGAATTACCTTTTCATGTTCGTAGTTTTACTTGTGGTCATGTTTCCAATCCCCAGGAGTATTTTCTTTGCTTTTTCTCCAGGTAACACCATGTATTTTTTATTACAAGTACTGTTGGCAAATTCTAATAAAATTTCATTTATGTTCTCCAGTAAAACAGCAAATCAAAAGGTGTTATTTCTAAAAATATTCTCTTTTTTTACAGGCAAAATCCTTGTCTGGCAATGCTTTGAATCCGATATAGTAGCCTACAGAATTTTATCATTTTTCCTTTCTTTAAAGCATTCAGACCTAAGCAACAACAAATACAATAAGTAATGATAATAAAAACCTTTTACTTTATTGTTTCGCTAGGGCGTTACAAATATCTTGGTTGTATCACAAGCAGAGCTTTAAAACACCCTGTCAAACTGTAGAGTCACCAGCATCGTTGCATGGGCTTTTAACAGTCTCCAACATTAAACAACAAAACAAAGTAGTTAATAACTAAATACAGCTTCAAATCCATGACAGTTTGTAGACATTTAAAAATTTTAAGTGCTTCAACCCAAGCTAAAGTGTTTGTTACATGAGCAGTGAAACTAAATGAAACTTATTTTTGCGTGTACTTAGGTCTTTTGGATGTGTCTGCATGGGCAGTTCAGTTGCATAATAAGAGAGGATCAATAGTTGAAGCAATCTCCTGGTTTCACCCCAGTACAGTAACCTTAGCTTGGACCGTCGCGTGCCCTACACCAGTGCTGGCATGAGTCAGTAATGAGGCAGCAGCAGTTTGAAGTTACGTACGTGCTGAATAATTGGCTTGCCCATCAGCTTCGGCAAAGCAGAATGTGCAAGCCAAGGAGTTTTGGCTGCCTTTCTTACCATTCACGGTGTATATTAGTTTGGATCTCTACTGTCAGCTGTCTGGTTTCATAGAGTGTATGGGAATTTCCTTATCTCTGAGACTTCTGTCCTTGCGCCAGACACGGCTGTTAGGTTGTCTTAACAGGATCCAAGTTAAATTGATTGTGGCTATGATTGCCAGAGATGACCGGATTTCCTAAGGAAATGAGATTTAAAATGCTCACCTTTCAAAGTAGTATGGGAGATCCAGCTGCACGAGTTACCGCATTATTTGACAAATTCTATGTCATGATCTATTTTGTTATGGTTAGCTTTTTTTATTACGGTAGAGATACAGTTGTTTTCCAGCTTGCCTTGAAAAGAAGGCTAGCTACGCTTTGATGCAACAATACGTGTAAACATCAGTTTATAATAAACTACTAAATGTAGCATAAATGTGGTATAAAATACAATCTCTTTATACTAAACATCAGTGTAGTATGTAAACTGCTAGGGGTTTTAACAAGTTTTGTTCTGATCTGAACTTTGCTGTTCATCTTCAACAGTGTAGACTTTGGTCGTTTTTTTTAATGGAACACAATTTTAAATTTGTTTAGGTAATTGTAAGAAATACTTTGTGATGTTAAACCCTAAATACAGTGTGTTAGTATTTATTATGTGGAGATGCCCATTGCTCTTCAGGTGGATGTTACAGTTCCTGTTTGCTCAGCCCCACAGTGCTGTTAATGCTGTCAGTCGCTGATGTGGTTAATGGCTGCAGCATTCGGATGTCCTGCCATTTTCCTGCTCAGTAACAAACAGACAAATTTATATTGGATGTTACTTTTGTTAGAAGCTACTTAGACTCTTTAATCACGGCTTGTGCAAATATAGAAAATGATCGATTGTGATTTCAGAGTTCTAGAACTAAATGTATGTATGTTAACTGGGAACCAGAAGTGCTGATTAAGACCAGAAACATTTTTCACAATTATGTTTTGTGTTCTTATTAAACTAGTTTAATATTAATTTATAACCTGTGACTTGGATCATATAGCAGCTATGGATGAATTGCATAGCAATTAGAAGTCATCTTCACTGTAGTATATAATTAAACTTTGCTCATAATGGTTGTCTCACGGCTGTGCCTGAATTTTTATTATGCATTGTTTATGTAGTAAGCACCGTGTTAGGTGTTCTCTGGTTAGACTGTTCATGCCCTGAAGACCTACTTACACAATTACACCTTTGTTTTTAACCTCTTGTTTGCTAATATTCACAGCTGTCACTCTACTCCTCTCCAGCTCGTGAGACTAAATATGTGGAGAATCCACAAACCCAATTGGAAGAGGGGGTTTCGCATTTACGGCATGTTATGGAACCATATACGGCCTGGTGTCAGGTATAATGGTTTTATATCACATCTGGTAGTGGTTCAGTGGTAAGGATTGAGCTGGGATTTTTCTTTTTAGAGACAGAATTAATACATATCAGCAAAATAAAAGTTAATAGCTGTACAAGGATTTTTCCAAAATGTTGCATTACTTAAAACTTTCTGCAGTTTGGGTCATAATATTTACCCCCTCCTCACAAAACCCCAGCTGTCTCTACTAATCTACTGAACTAAACCCCTGCTTTTTTGCATATTGTATCCCTCCAGAAGAATTAAAAGAAAATTAACTAAAGCTTGGAATTGTTATCCGAAATAAACTTGAAGCTTAAAGATATCTAGGCATATCTGGATTTGGTACAGTCCTGTGACTGAGGAAGACAGGAGAGTGGTTAAATTTGCATTTTCTGTGCTTGAGGAGAAGGCCTTAAATTGACAAGCAGTGTCTTTTGGAGCAGCAATACCAAGTTGTCCTCACTGCAGCTGTGACAAAACACAACTTTGCAGAAGATAAATCGGTATTTGCTGAACTGGAATGTTGAGGGAAGGAACGCTGTTGTATTAGGTAGCATGTTTATACTAAGCAGTCATTAAATACAAAAATAGTCTTTGGAGCATAGAAGAAAACAAAGATCTTTGTAATCAAGGTCTAAATTGTTGATATTAGACTGCAGAGTCATATAATGGCTTTCTTGCTCTTTCCTGACCCAGCAAATGTTGAGACTTACTTTTGAAGCAAGGGCATCCTTGTCATCTGGTTGCCTGTTGGCAGCTTTAGGTGATTCTCTGCTTTGCACACTGGCTGTTGTGAATCCTCTTCTTAAGCTGCAAGCTGGTTTTCCCATTCCCCATAGAAAGCCAAGCTGTTCAGTGTGTCCTTTCTGCCTGGAAGTTTTGTTACGGTACTAACCTTTAACAGTACTGAAACATTTTTTCAGAAATACTTAGGGTTACTCAGGCTAGTGATGTGTTTCTAAAGTGCCACCAGCAGGAGTATTCATCTCCGTTTTGAAAGAGAAGGGGGCTTTTCCACAGTATAGTTAGAGCTCTGACCCCCTAAACGCATGGGTTCTGTTTGGTTGCCTATGGTAACTGAAACTGGGGATGAAATTTTAGATGGGGTTAGTTGCCCAGTTGGTCTGACTGCAGGTGAGCCTTGAACAGTTCTTTATGTCTCACTGGCCTGTTGTCTCCTATTTGCTTTATTTTTTGTCTGCGTGGTGATTGTTTACATAAGATGTGCTCTTCTGCTCACACACAACAAGCCATTTCCTGGCAGTGGTTTACTGACTTATTTTATGAAGTGGGCGTGTAAACTTTATGGGTTTAGGGTTATCTTGCTTGCCTAACTGTAGTCAGAAATAGTTTTGGTTTTTTACCATCCACACCCCCTGCTATGTTAAAGAAAATAACATTTTAGGTGTGTCTCAGTTGTCTTTAATTTTAGACATAACTCAGGATAATGAGAATAAAATTGGTTATGTTTGTATATCCATTTTACTTTTTCAAAATTGCTTGCTTAACTGTAGTGGAAAGTCAGTTCAAAACACAGATGTAGAAATGAGCCAGTTATGTGTGAGCTGTGACAGAAGATCAGACTTGGTCTCTGGGGTCTTGAGAGCACGTTTGTATTTCATTGGCTTTTAATAAGACCAACATCCATTTAGAGTTATGTTGTGTATCACACGCTAATGCTTTTTTTTCCATGGCAATTTTTTTGTTAAGTCACTTGTGCCAGTGAGGAAATGAAAGTTCTAAAGATTTTATCCACCATGCAGTATCCTAAACAAATACTTTCACTTCTGCACAGATGCAGCTCAAGTGGTATTGCGAGACCATACTCTGCCTTAGCTTTGCGCATACATGTTTATGAATTTGTTCCCTAATTGATAGACAGTCTTACACTGTCTCTCTGGAGGATTATTAGCATAATAACAATTAGCAGGGTTGCTCTTACTGAGATTTTTTTTTTCTACTTTGATAAAACATAGTGTGATTTTTTTTTTTTTTTTTTTTTTTTGTTCTGTCTGAGAAAACAAATCTAGAACTCGTTTGTGGGGTTGATGCAGTGCTCTTTGATTTACTTTGGACATTGTTTGGGCATCTCATTTTTCAAGTCACTTCAAAAATGCAGTTTTGTTAGCCTAAGATACTCTCTTGGAAGATGGAATTTATCACCTTGCAGAATGAGTCATGTACCCCTGTGAAGTGCTTAGGAAGGAGTTTATTAGTGTACTTCCTTTCTTTGCATCAATGTTTTTGAAACCAGAGATAATCCTGAGTTTCAGCTACCTGATCAGGAACTCAATTAAATTTGAAATTGACTTCTGTGTTTTGAGGTATTATATTTCATCTGTATCCAAAGACTCCTTTGAGAAAAAGCTGTAGATTATGCCAAATGTAATGTTGAGCAAGTATAGCTTGGGAACTATATAAGGGAAAGGTGGAAGTGGGAATAAAAAGATGTTGTTTTAGGGACCACACACTTTTTTCCCCTTCTTTTTTCTTTTTTTTTTTTTTTTTTTTTCTTTGTCAAGTCAGTTACAATGTGTTGTAAATATTTTACTTACTTGGTATTTATTTACTGTTGTTTTATTTTCTTTTTTTTTTTTTTTCCTTAGGATCTTTATGCCAAAGCTATGCCCAACTTAGAAAAAGCTGTTGAGCGTGGTAGAGGTAAATCAGTTTAGTTTTCTTAACTAGCAATTTTAACTGCAGGACTGTACTATATCTTCTGTTAAAAGGGAATTCCAATAAGCATCATTATACATATATAATTTATAATGCATTTAAGACTACTTTGTTTGCATGTATATGTGTTTAAATTTCCTTTGTAGGTCACTGTGACGCTACATTTCTAAACAGTTAAAATCAGAGACCTGCATCTGTGTTGACTAATGTCACTAAAAATGACAGTTATGCAGAAAAAGAAGGGGAAAAAAGCCTCATAATTTATTCCCAGTCAGTAGCAGTTGCTTGACCCAACCTGGTAACTGAAACTTCCTGCAATGTTTATTACTTGTCACAAGTGTTAGGTCTCGTTTGTGATGTTTAACCTTTTAATTTTGTTTTATTTCCTTGAATCTCCTAAGAATTTGGAATTAATCCAAAATAATTTGTATTTATTTTTGGTTTTGAAAGCATCCTTTCATACTTAGGCTCATCAGGACTGAGCACAGATGCTATCTAGGGCTCATTTCAGATACTGCACCTCTTTTCCTTAAACTTAAGTCTCAGTTTTTTTAATTCCTTTGTATGGAAGGTTTTTTACAATTTTCCATTACCCCATCAGACTGCTGTCTTGCAGTGAGCTTTGTTTATGCTGTGTCTTTCCTTTGTTCTGTGATTTGTATTTGTACAGTGGTTTACCGAAACTAATTCTTGTTAACATGTAAACGTAAGAATCCATTTTGCAAAGGGTTTTATCACTAATTGGAAAAAGATATAATCAAGATGCAAAAGAGCAAAACAAAACAGATGGCCCAGGAGGAAAGGCAAAAGCTTAGATGAAAATTGGTAAATACAATACAATGTTCAGTTTCATTCATGTGTCACTAGAGAAGATGTCAAAGGCTTTGAATCTTATGCCAGCAGATCTAAAATATGCATGATAGTTAAATGTGTTTTGATAACTCTTTATGTTTTGTAACAATTGCCGGCATGTGTTGATCATTCCTTATCACAAAAACACTTTCACATTACATGAAAGCACTTTGTTCTGACTTCTTTTCAGAGGGCTGTGAATTTCTCCAAAACCCCCCTGCTGGATTTTATCCAAGGCTTGGTGTGATAGGTTTTGCTGGAATTGTTGGTTTGTTTCTTGCCAGAGGTAGGTGGGAACCTTTTGAACTGCTTATATTATGATTTGTGATAAATAATTTATTTGTCATTTTTTGGATACTAATGTTTAATTGTGACACATGAGATCTGACTTAACTGTACAAGCATGTTTTTACAATGTTCCTGCAATTATAAAGAAACTTCATGTAAAAGGTGTGTAATAAGCATCAATTATTGTTTATAAGTACAGTATGTGTTACTGGAATCTTGTCTTTGATCTTTTCCACTTGTAGCTTACTATAGCAAAAGTAGGAAAGGATTTTTTTTTTTTTTTTTTAGCCTAAAACTCTTTTTAATGACTTAAGTTCTTGATCATGTATGTCACTGTAAAAAAAATACAGAGGAATAAATTATGGTAAAATACAGAGATTCCTGAATTATGATACATGTATAATTAGTTGCATATTCAAGTTCCTTCAAAGTATTGTGTGTCCAGGCACAGAGCTGCTGCAAATGGTGATACTCAGCAGAAATACTTGTGAACTCAGGATGTACTATAAATACATGCACATTTTGTGCTATTGAAATGCAATACAGTTAATTTCATCACGCTACTTGAAGAAACGAATACATTTATATTTTCATAAAAATGTTAATTGTGAAAAAGTATTTTGTGTTTGTATTGAGATATTCTTAAAACAGTGAAATGAAGTAACACGAGAAGAAAACTTGTAGGTAACGTAACTGTAAAGTTCTAGAATTTAAATACTAGTGAGGACTTGCTTTGCATAAAAATATACCTTTGTGGGGCCTGTACGTGTTGAACAAACTGGAAGTGTATGCTTGGCTATGTAGAAATGGAAAGCATTCTGCGAATATATGCACTTAAATATTTCGACGAGTGCTTATGTAATTTTCCAGTGAAGATGATGAAAGCAGTACTGGGGATTTTTTCCTAACCTTTTTCTTAATGAAAATCAAGGTCTCCAACTTTACCCATTTTAAGTTCTTTCTCTTCAAATTCCTGCTTCTTGAGTTATGTGATTATAAATCAGCTTCCAGCCTTTACAACTGCAGTAAAATTGGGGGTGGGAGTAGAGTCTTGGGGCTGGATCTGAAAGATGACAGGGTCCTAAGTTTAATAAAAATAAAAATCCCTCATAATACAAATGTCTGATTTGTGAATCTTTTAGGATGGGGGCCATAATTTTAAAACTTTTTGTCTGGTTATAGTTGACAATACTGACTGCTATTTCCAGAAAATACTCAAAATCTAGCAGGAAGTACCCCTTAATTTTGATTTAACTTTCTAATAGAAAGTTAGAACCAAATGCCCTTTTTTTTTTTTTTTTTTTTTTTTTTTTTTTTTTTTTTTTTAATAAATCCTTCCTCCCTTGGTCTTTCTGAAAAATTGCACTCTTGGAAGGTACAGATAAAATCTTCCAGGTCTAACCATAACACTTGAAGATATAGCTGCCCACGAAGTAGAAAGTATGGTATTCAGAGTTTAATTGTGTGAATATTGTGCAGTCATCCAGCTTGGTTTAAAATACCAAGTTGAAGATAATTTGTTCTAACCTTGTTGAGTAGTACTGGAATGGACACAGGAGTATTCCTAAACTTCCCTCTAATGGGTATCTCCAGGAGGTACTAATGCTATGTATATAACTATTACATTTATTGCTTAAGTATTATTGTAGGCACACTGATAAGCTATCACTAAGAAAGATTTCCCCATTCCCAGAAATTATAACAGAAGTGTAATTTTTCTGGTTGTACAGATGCAATGAAGCTTACCTTTGCTGTGCTTTCTTATAGCTAACTGGTACCAAGTTCCCTCTTCACAAGACCAGCAACGTCACTTTATGAATATCTCTCGTTTACCGCTAAGTTTCTCATCTCATCACGAGCATATGTTAGTGGATACACTAAACACTTCTAATATGCATTTCCTCTTCAGAAGTCATTATTCCTTTATTAGAAGCATATGTGGCTTCGCATATAGAACAGGCTGTTCTATGAGGAACAGAACTACTGCGTCCTGCCTCCTGTACCTCTGTTCTATGACCTTTTTTCTCCTGTACTGCTTGCTTTCCTCCTTTACCTGCTCCCTTCTGTGTTCCCGTCTGACTGGATGAACTGCAGCATGCCCTGTAACTGATCCAGTGATGTGTATTGTCACTGGCCAGACAGGATACACAACCTGTGTCCAGCTGCAATAAGAGGATGAACTTTTCAGGCAGTTAAATTATTTTAGGCTTGTGTAATTAAATACAGAGTTCAAACTGATTAAAATGTTCAAAATTTAGTTGGGGACTGAGCAATAGGCATATACCATAATTGTACGTAGTTTAAAAGTACTTTCACATGCTTTGCAAATTGCTATAGTGAATCAAGAAAAAATACTCGTAAGAGCAGTTGTGGAAGAATCAGTATTTGTGAGTCAAGGTAACTTAGCCAGTTTGTATTGGAACGTCTCTTGTTCTGCTTGATGTATCAGAAGAATGCTATCCTAACCTTTCTTTGCCTGAGTTTTTCCTTTTAGCTTAGAAAAGAGTATCAGTTGATAGAATTCTTTTAAATATCTCTTAACTGTGGCTTTTACTTCATTATTCAGTACTGAAATAAATTATGTATTACTAGAGTAAATACAGTTGTAAGGTAATTTTTACTATGGAAAATTGTTAATAAAAATATTCTCTTGAAAAGGTTAAAAGAATAATTACTGATCAGAGTAATCACGTTTCTTAAGAAACCAGTAGGACTGAACAGAAAATATGCTAAACTGTATTTAATAAAATTGGTTTGATTATAAATAAAAGGGTAGGGCCATTCATCTGTCTTGGTTAACATATACTCTAACAATGTTTTGGGGTTTTGTTTTTGTTTTTTATGAAACAGGCTCAAAAATAAAGAAGTTAGTGTATCCTGCAGGTCTCATGGGCATTGGTGCCTCTATGTATTACCCTCAGCAAGCGGTTTCTGTTGCAAAGGTCAGTGATGATACCTTTCTTTGGAGAAGTGTCTTTTACTTTGATTATTGCTTCCTACCTTCAAACTAACTGATAATCCATTTTTAAATGCCCTGTCAGTGTGCTTGGCACCTACCAAAATGATAATTATTTTGTCAAAGAACATGCTGTCTAGGCTGAAAGATGGTCAGATATTCTGTTTCTTTTAGTGACTTTTTTCTAACATCTGCAGTAGTGGCTTCAGTTTGAGGAACCATAATTTCCTTTCTGAATCTCTAACCTAAAGTAATTATAAATTAACATAAAAACTGCACTTACTAAGCATATTTATGTTTACTTGCGATACTAAGGAAGCCTGAAATGTCTTAAGAGCAAATGAAAACAGGGTTTGAAAGAAAAAAGAAAACAAACAAACAAAAAAACCAAAAAAAACCCCAGGAAATTCTATAGAGTAATCATAGGAACAACATTGTGAGATAAACATTGAAGTTTTCTGCTTTTTGTTGGATAGAGTTTTAAGAAAGATAGCATGCACATTCTGGAATGGGGTAAGAATTCTGCTGCTTATTTGGATGCCTTTCCTGTTTATGCATTTGTTGTTTCAGGCACATGAGAAACATTTTAACTTACAGTTGCCTAAGTGAGTTTCCTGTGAAAGAAAGAACTGAAGAGACCAGACAATTGCTGACAGCCCCTACTGGTGTCAGTTCATTTGCCTTGCTGTCCACACTTAATTGTCCCAACAGATTTCTCAGTTCTCCACCACATTCTTTTTCAAGTCCAGCTTTTAACCAGTCACAGTGCACATATTTTAGTGTGTCAGCAATACTTTATATTTCAGGCTTTGGTAAATTGGCTATCCAGTTATTGGTGACTTGTGAATGACATTGAGATTTCAGGATGAAAATATGATTATTCTCAAGAGTGTATGATGTTTTCTGAAAACTGAAAGGTCATTGACTTGAGGAGATGTGTTTGAGCTCTCCCAGCATGGTGATACCCTGATCTTTGCTGGATTTTATTTTTTTAGTGCTTCCAGGATTCGGATGCTCTAAATACAGATAGTTCTGTTGACTTATTCTCAGGGAGTGAAAATTATCCAAGTGGCGGGGGAAAAAAAAATTTGAGAAGCTTAGACATTTCTGTTGGAAACTGTGTATTAAAATTCTAGTTGCCTTCTGAACAGTGAAGTGGGAAGTGATTGAATGGTGTTCAAACTGATGTTACTGTTTTTAAAGAAGCTCAGTTCAGTCTTAACTATGGATTTGCTACTAACAGCTTCTCAATACCTTGTTTATTTTACGAAAACTTTGAAGTGCATGATTGCCCTTTGATTAATTCACAGTTCTTAGTTTGACTGTAACAAAAAATCTGATATGAGACCATGAGCCTGAAACTTGATTGGAATAGGTTTAGCTTTGTTGACTTGGTCAGGAACACTAGACGTGTGAGTTTGAAAACCACTGTGGAGAGAGCGATATCCTAGATACTGTTTTGGTTCCTCTAATCTCTCTCGCGCTTTTCTTTTCTTATGCAAAGTTTTAAACATATCAGATCTTACTGTCCATAATTTTTATGCCTTTAATCTGAAGTTGGAAGCACTTTCACCTCTAGTAACTATTTTGAAATGTTTCATAGGCCTTTCAAAAGATTCCTGTAGGGCTAGAAAGGGGTGCTGGCAGTACAGAGCTCACTTGCCAACTTAATAGAACAGTACAGGAAATATTCTGGAACATAAATTTTAATTTTTTAAATTTTTTTTTTTTTACATTATGTTATTTTTATTTTTCTTCCATATTTGAGTACTTTGTTACTGCTTTTTCATCTACAGTAGTATAGTTCCCTTCATTTGCTAAACTTTCAGGTTTGACCATACTTTAAAAAAGTTTGGGGTAGTGTGGTTTTTTTTTTCCTTCCCACTTTTGTTAAAGGCTTTCCATTGGAGAGTTGGAAATAAAAACATCCAAATATATTTGCAGTTGAGATACAACATGATGCATCTGTCTGGAAGAAAACTTTTTTCTTTAATTAAACGTATGAGTTGCCAAGTGAAGTTATAGTAAGAGTTGGTAATAAGTAGTTTTGAGACACTATTCATCTAACTGGAGGTGGAAGAAATGCACAGACTATTTTTTTTTTTTTTCTTTTTAGTAATCATTCTAATAAATCACAAATTTGTAAGGAATTTGTTTCTCCACTGCTAGTATTACTTTAATTTGTATAACTTTGAACAAATGGTCAGACTATGCATGTGGTAAGGGAACTGAATACAATACTAAAGTTTATTTTGTTCTGGTGGAACTATAGTGTTTTGGAACTGTATTGCTTTCCAGCTAATCATAATACATTCAAAACCTTTTGTATTACTATGGCTTATCTTCCATCCGGAAAAAAACTTTCCATTTACTTTCCATTAAATCAGTCTATCATTTATCATTAGAATTAATTTTTGTTCCTTGTTATTAGAACTTACAAGATTTACTAGGCTAGTGTGTGTTATGCTTACCTTCTTGAAAGAAAGAAAAACTTCCTAATGTTGTTTGTTTCTTTGACAACAGACTAAATTATTTCTATGTCTTTTGAACCTACACCTCATCCCTTGCCTCGTACAGTCCGTAAGGCATAAACAGTTGTACTGGCACAGCTGAGAGCATGACATGATTACAGCAACAGATTGAAAAGCAACAACAACAGATCACAGCAACAGGTTGAAAAGGAGTTGGGGTCACTTGATCCATTTTGCTGCAGAATGAAATGCTTGTGAAATTGCACTATGACCACTTTGTTAATATAAATGTAGAAAAGCCATCAGATTCTCAGTTTAGTTTCTCAGCGTGCAACGTAGATAAAGAATTGCTAACCATAATTCTTGATAATCTTGACATATAGCATATGGTATAGTCAATCTTACATGCTTACGGTCCTGTGTGGAATTTAAATATGGGAGCTAGTTTACATGCACATTAGGCCTTAGAGACTGCTGATGCTACCCCAGTAGCATCTAGTTTGGGTGTTTGTGGCCCAAGGTCACTTTTAAACTATATGAGAGTCCCTGTTGAGAACAACTCGATCTGACTTTTCAACTTGTTTGTTCAAATTTTAGCATACAAACTTACAGTGTTGCATTGAACAGAGGTGGCATTTTAGCATGTTGTAATTTAATGCAAACAAGCTGGAAATTGTTACCTTCCAGAAGTTAAGAATTCCATGTGACTGAACGGAAAAACTTGTCCCTCTTTGAAAGGAACTCTTTGTATGAATGTTGGAATGAACACTCTGAACAATTGAATGAACTGCTTGTATTATAATTGTTCCTTTTAGTTTTCCTGATTGGAACTGCCTCTCCCAAGAATAGTGGTGGCAACTACAGTACCCACTTGCTTCCTCTTCAACTGCTCCATGAGCAAGAGAGGTATTAAACACAAGCCAAACACGTGACTAGCGTTGTGTTCATAAGAGGATGCACTGGATCGTTATAAAAGTTTCTTGGCTATGTTCCTGTTGACCCTGTAACTTGCAGCTTACAGTCTACCTGGAATTGTATTTTTCAACCCATGCGAACTGCAAAGGTGTGCGTGGGTCCCAGGTCTTGGGAGGTGTGTACTGTGTTGAAACACTGGTTGCCTGTGGCAGAATAAACTATCTGGCTTGCTGTAGCTTGTGGTGTAGCTACTTTACTCCAGCAACGTGAATGACCAGTTTCTCCTCTAATAACAATATTTTAAAGTTTGTACTGTTAGGTATTTAGAGTGTTTTTAAGTATTTTAATGGGGTATTTTTAAGCAGGAACAAGAAATGGCTTATGGGTAGTTGTTGCTGTTTCTCATTTTATGTTGATAGCTGTGTCCTCAGTAACATTGCAGACAAAAAACACCCCCCTGTTTGTTTGTTTATTGTGGTTATTTTTCAGTCCTGGTAGGTTTGTACTGCTTGCACAACTGATCACACTATCTTTCCAGACGAGCCATAGGCTCTTCGTGACTTTGAGAACTAGTTTGTTGAAGTACTTAAGAATGGACGCTCCTGATAATGAAGATGATAACCGTCTATATCTGTAATGTTTGAATTGAGAGATTTTTGAGATTTAACACATTCATCCCTGGAACAGTTGGTGTGCTTTTTTCTGATGACCTTTATCACCTTCAAATATGGACAAAACTCGGTGCATTGTGCTGACTCGTTTACAATGAAAGTACAACTGCAATTGTCAAACATGGTGACAAATATGCTAGCTCTTTATATTTAAAACAGCCTACATTTTGGATTTAGTTGTGACTCGGAAAAGGAGCTGCTGATTTGGGTTTGTTTTCTTTTAATTTGAATTATTAAATAGCCTTTTCTGTAAGGCAGTAACATGATCTCTGCCCAGAAGCACATCCCTTACCATTGTGGTACATAACTGGTGTACTTAATTTTGTTCAAAGGGAACTGGTTCTTCATACCATGTGTGCCCAGCGATAGAACTCCTTGGCACAGGATACTGTGGATGCTAAAAATTTGCGAGGGGTTCAAGGGGAAGTGCAACAAGTTCGTAGGAAGGAACTTCCTTGGGCATTGTTATACACATAGAAATCACCCTGGCTCAGGAAATCTCTGAGCAGCGAATTGTTGGAGACTAGAAGAAACTTAAAAATTTCATTCAGAAACTGTTTCAGAAACATCAGTTATGCTTGCCCTGTTCTCATAGTTTTGGTTTTCCAGCTTTGCCTGCTGTGGGAGATAGGGTGATACCTTCTTATTTATTGATTTCATAAGTTTTTTAGTTGAATAGCTATCTCGTTGGGCAAATTGTCAATTTTTGCTGTTCTTTATTTGTAAGAAAGCTTGATAGTGATATGAAAGTGAGTAGTGACCTGAGCCTGGAGCTGTAAAAACTTTACACTCTTTGAGTTTTAAGGGATGCAGTTCTATATCATGTAAGGGGCAGGAGATACTCTTTTGTTAGACTTAGGGATTTTTCCTGTCATAAAAGTACCTGTTGGTGTAATACAGCAAACACAGTCTTTCCTAGTTGTCTTCTGTTTTGAGAGTTGACAGCTGGTTATTCATTACAGCAATCTATCAGCAAATTAGGTCTTTCTTCTAAATAGCAAATAAAAAGAAACAAAGGAGTACTCTTACTGTTCTGTCAAAGCAGTGAAAATGTCAGACTGAAAAATAGTGACAAACTAAGTAGGGGATAATTTTTTTTTTCTTTAAAATGAGTATGGCCAAATTAAAAAATAATTTCCACATGTTAAATCTGTTGAATGTCAAATAAGAAGAAAACCAGAATTGTTTCCATGCAGCATCATTCCATCCCTTTTTTATACAGGTATATTTTCAGGCAGTCTTCAAAACAGTTTTTTAGCAAGTTGGCTCTTCTTATTCCTCATGTGTCATTTTTTTCCAAGATGTTTATAATGTTGTACACCCTGAGCTTGAACAGGAAGACGTTAAAGATCTTGTGTTCTGAGACTTCTTCCACTTAAATGAGAAGCAAAACAATATTTCCCAGTTTATTAAGTTCATGCTTTCTAATACCTTTTGTTTCAAAGGTTGCTGGTACACAGCTGTACGACTGGAGTCTTCAGGGATATATTGCTGTAGAATCTCTTTGGAAGGATAACCCTAAGAAGAAGAAATCTGGGAAAAAAAGTGATAAGGTAAGAAGTCTGAGGAAATTGATTTCTGAATTTACCACTGCATTTTCAGACAAAGAATATATGAACAATAGTGTGCTTTTTCCACTCTGACTCAGCTTTTGTTTCTGAAGACAAAGATTTAATTCTATCTAAGCTGTGGAAAAATATTAAGCTTACTTCAAGTTAAAATCTCAGAAATGCTGTTTGGAACTTTTCTTTAGTATAATCTACTAAGTGTTTAATAGGAAAGTTGGGAGTATTGTGATTGGAATGCTAGGGATCCAGGCTCTTACAGTCTTGATCATTTAAAAAAATGAAATTTTTTTTTTAAAAAAAAATTTAATTTGACAAGCGCCATTTTAAAAATCTGAAATAACGGGTTTTTTTCATTACATATCTCTTCTTAGAGAGAAAATAGAATCTTCTTTCCAATTTATTCCTTTTTTGTTTTTTTCCTTTGAGTGTTCATTAATATTTGCTGTGGCAAATGATGATGTCATTGTGTGCTGCTCTATTAAATGTTACTATCTAGTCATAAAACCAGCAGTTTATAGGGACATACAGTTCTTAAGGATTTAGTCATAGGTAACTGGTGTGGTTTAATACTTAAGGAATACTTGAGGAAGTTTTGGTTTAATCAGTTCTCATCCAGAAAACTGCCGATAAAAATTGAGTTTCTTTTGAATCTACTTTGAACTGGGCATCCTGGTGAGGTACCAAGCAACAGTCATTACTGAAAGTTTCTAGTTTCTAGATTTCCAATTGTTAAACACTGTACGAGGGGTCACACTAACATTCATATATGTGATTTTTTTTTTTTTCCTGGAATAACATTTGTCTTTATTTTCTGCTCTACAAGTCACTTATTTCTTTGGTTTGGCATTACTGTTCTGTGTTACACTAAGCAGACTGATGTCTTGCCTTAGAGATGCCTGCATCTGATGACAGAGCAAATGCTAACATAATGGCTTTGTTTTCCAGAGTCTGGCAAGCACTGAGGTTTCTTTAGAACAGCATTTTTGAATTAACATTGCTAATACAACTAAGTGAATGTCTGCATGCTTATTTTCAGTTTTAGAAAGGAGCAGCTTTCCTTATTCCCCCTACAGAGCAGCTTTCCCTAATCCCCCTACAGACCATCAGTGATACAGTATGATTTCCTTGCGTACTTCACCAGAGAAGGAAAGCCTTTTTTTTCCAGCACTCCTGCGGTCCATGCTTATACAATACCACCATTTTAAGGCATGTATGCCTTTACTTGCTTTAAATCTCAGTATCTCAGCCAGTGTGCTCTTCCATAGCTGATTTATAGTCATCAAAGTAGTTGTGCTATATTTAAGTCATATTATTCAGTGTATATGAATTAATTTATCCTTGGTTTTGGGTTAATGTTTGTATCAAACTATTTGCTTATACGTTTGTGTGTGTTAAAGCAGTGTATATTAATAGAATTTACATTAGATTTTTTAAAATATATATAACGTCTATTATATTTCTATATAAAACCACAGACTGGTTGAGGTTGGAGGGCACCTCTGGGTCATATTATTCAGTGTATATGAATTAATTTATCCTTGGTTTTGGGTTAATGTTTGTATCAAACTATTTGCTTATACGTTTGTGTGTGTTAAAGCAGTGTATATTAATAGAATTTACATTAGATTTTTTAAAATATATATAACGTCTATTATATTTCTATATAAAACCACAGACTGGTTGAGGTTGGAGGGCACCTCTGGAGATCACCTGGTCCGACCCCCTGCTCAAGCAGGGCCACCTAGAGCTGGTTGCCCAGAACCATGTCCAGGCAGCTTTTGAGCATCTCCAAGGACGGAGACTCCGCAACTTCCCTGGGCAACCTGTGCCAGGGTTCGGTCACCCTCACAGTAAAAAAAAAAAAGTGTTCCCCGATGTTAAGAGGTAACCTCCCGTGTTTCAGTCTGTGCCCATCGCCTCTGATCCTGTCACTGGGCACCACTGGAAAGAGCCTGGCTCCATCCTCTGTGCACCTTCCCTTCAGGTATTTGTGTACATTGATGAGATCCCCCTGAGCCTTCTCTTCTCCAGGCTGAACAGTTCCAGCTCACTCAGCCTCTCCTCATATGACAGATGCTCCAGTCCCTTCATCGTCTTTGTGGCCCTTTGCTGGACTCCCCCCGGTCTGTCCGTGTCTCTCTTATACTGGGGAGCCCAGAACTGGACACTGTACTTAAACTTTGACTGTGGAGTTGGTCAAACATGATAACAGCACTGTAGTGAATTGTAGGGTTTTAGTTTTTTATAACTATAATTGTTTACTTCTACAATTTGCTAGATGTTATGACTTGATAGTAGTGTCCAATAGAGCAGTACACAGTGCCATCATTTTGTTACAGCAAATATCCATAAATACTCCCCTCAGAAAATCTGAAATAAGATTCTACTTTTCTGCTTCAAATGCATTTTGCATTCTACAAAATGCTACCAAGTTTTAAAGTAAGTGCAGTGTGATTGATTAATGATATTAGTTGAAGATTAGCACTGACTTGTGAAGAAATGGGAACTTGTTTTGATGAATCATTAAGTTATATAATGTCTTGATCATAATTTATAACCTGCCTGTAGTTTCTGGAGTTAAGTATCTTAGTGATGTTTTTGTGTTATCTGCCAGACATTTCTGTTACCCCACAGGAGCAAGCTGTCTTTGTAGTTGTACCTCTCTGATACAGATAAGCAAACTGACTTGTGGGAAATATATGTAGATGGCTCAGTGAAGCAGAGTGTAAGAGACCAGAGAACCATGCATGTTGATTAAATGTGTGCCAGGGAAAGCCTGTAAGGTTTTTAAGAATTTTTTTTTAGCTGCTCCTTAAAGAAATAAAAGTTCAGGTGCGTACTGTAAAGCTTCTGTGGGTTTAAATTCACTTCTAAATTCACTGCATCTCTAATTCCTGTTTTCTAAGGAGCTATGCTTTTCTGTTGATACAAACTGCTGTCCTAGCTGCAGACTGCTCCCATCTCTTATTTGAGTAATTTAATGGAGCCTGGCAAAACTAACACATGATTTGAAAACAACTTTGAACCAGCAGAAAGTCTTGGTCTTTTACTGTGGACCTCCTGATTGAGCCATAGCTCCCAACTGGTAACAGTTCATGCTAGGTTAAGAATGATGTAAGGCTTCTGGGATGTTGTAAACCAGAAGTCCCATCTGACCAGAACATGGTATTTTCAACCCAGAGGCCTAAAACATAAGGGGGAGAGCCACTGAGAGAGAGCTGGTTTGGAGAGGCAATTGCACTTGAATAGACTGCAGATATGGGACCGAGTTCCTTAGGTAGGCCTAGGTATGGGACTAGTTCCAAACAAGCTGGGTTGGAGAAATGCTCATGTGTCTTGCCAGTTGCTGAGCCTTATGAGAGCGGAGATGTTCATCAGTGGATACTCGTCCTGTATTGGCCCTAGGCACTTCAGAATATGCACTTGTGTAGCTCTTTGAATAAACAAAGGTTAGTTAATCATGCTGTACCTTTCCTAAAACCTAGGCTGTCAACAAGTATCTCAGAAAAATAGGCAACATTAAAATATTTCAGAAAGACAAACTGACAGCGTCGGTAAAAATTAGCTGAGCTTTGTATTTTATTGTGTCCCAGGCTTTCAAAGGGAAACATGTGGTTGTTATTGGAGGGTAAAAACTTTTGAAGCTTTCATCTTATTATAAGGCTTATTCAAGCACTTGCTACCTCAGCAGAAAAACAAACGACATGCAAAATTGCAGAGACCACTGAGTAAACACACTTCTTTCTCTTCCTCCTTGCAGAATCTTTAAATCACACCCCTTAGTTGCCAGAAAGTTATTAGCACAAAGGAGCGCAATGCCATTGAATGGTTTCCTCCTAAAGTTCACCTAATTGATCAGATATTGTTAGTGTTAACTGTTGCCATTTGCCATGTTGCCATCATGGATTAGGCAAGGTACAAAAATCCTGTGACTCAAATGAAGAAGCACTGTGCAGTTGATGAAATTGCCTGCATGTCAGCTGTTCAGTGACCTCTTGCCGCTGGAGTATACAGCCTCATTGTTTCTTTGTCTTCTGAAGTTGTTGAAGAGAGGGTATTGTCTCCCTGGTGTCTAGAGAAGCTGAACAGCAGTTGTAAAAAGTCACATGCTTTCGAGGTCACTATCATGTAGACTGAAAAGTATTTCCAATGGAAGAAGTCTGCTTGGAAACTTCCTTTTGGTGAGGCAGTATAAAATACATAGTTGAGAATTGAGGGGGGAGGGGGTTTGTTGTTTTTTTTGGTTAGTTGTTTCATTGGGGGTTTTTTTGTTTGTTTTTTTTTTTATATACACAAGCACTGGTGTGTCCCTAACATGAGGTGTGAGAGGTGAAGTTTATCCTAGAAGAACTATTTTCAGTCTGACTCTAATGCTGCGTGGTTATACTAGTGCAAAAAAGTTTTTCGTTCATACAGATGATTGCATCCACCCAATCAGTGTCAACTTTTCCAGCAAAAGAATTTCTGTTATAAAGATAAGCTGAATTTTTATTGGAGCTTTTACTGATACAGAAGTGTCGTGGAGGAAAATAAATGCTTCTAACTGTCATGTACTAAAATTGTCAAAGCATTCTACGATAGATTCTGGGGCTTCTGTCTTAATTTGACAGGCCTGTGACAGAATTGGGTTGGTTTTGTGTATTTTTTCTTATTGTACTAGGCAGCTAGATTCCTTAATGAGTGAAGGCAAATATAAATGTTATTCTTGAGTTGTTGTTACAGCAGATGTAACCCATTTCATGAAACCATGCCAGAGCAGAAGATGTTATTTTTTTTGTTTTTGTGATGTTCACTCTAGCGTTTTCCTGTTGCTACACAAAGGATTCTTGCAAATAGTCAAGCAATATATGGGTGGCTCTTCTTGGCTTGTGTTGATTTGTTATGTTGCTCGTAATTTGTTTGATAGTCATAGGTACCACAGCTGTGCATAACTTCATGTTTGTGCAGTGATATCTCATTAAAATAGATGTGGTATGTTAACTATT